GATGAAGGCTGTAGGATGGCAGATAAGGTATCATCAGTCTCATTATTGGAGAAGGGCATTTAAGGTAGCCTCTCCACTATTGCTTAGATTGTTAGTTGGGGTCAACCTTGTGGATCTCTGGACATTTCCCTCGTGCCAGATTTCTCTTTAAACCTGGCTCCTTCTATTATGGTGTCCCTTTTCTTGCTCTCCTCTATTCTTCTTCTGACTGAATCTTCCTGCTCCCTCATGTCCTCTTCTTCCCTTCTCTTTCAACAAAAAGGACATCTGTTCACCCATGTTCATAGCAACCTAGATGCCCCTCAACTGAAGAATGGATGGAGAAAATGTGGTCCATTTACACAATGGAGTACTACTCAGTGAAAAAAACAATAAAATCTTGAAATTCATAGGAAAATGGATGGAACTAGAAGAAACCATCCTGAGTGAGGTAACCCAGTCACAAAAAGACAAAAATGGTATATACTCAATCATATATGGATTTCAGACATAAAGCAAAGGATTACCAGACAATAATCCACACCACCAGAGAAGCTAGGAAACATGGAGGACCTTAAGAAAGGGACAAGATCTCCTAAAGTAATTAGGAGCATGGGGGGAGGGGGGAGGGAGTTAGAAGAAATAAATCTTTTATTTATTTTTTTTTAAAGATTTTATTTATTTATTATGTATACAACATTCTGCTTCCATGTACATCTGCACACCAGAAGAGGGCACCAGATCTCATAAGGGATGGTTGTGAGCCACCATGTGGTTGCTGGGAATTGAACTCAGGACCTCTGGAAGAGCAGTCAGTGCTCTTAACCTCTGAGCCATCTCTCCAGCCCGAAATAAATCTTTTATTAAAGAAAGAAAATAATGAATCTTTTAAGATTGATTATAAGCCGGGCATTCGTGGCGCACGCCTTTAATCTCAGCACTCTGGAGGCAGAGGCAGGTGGATCTCTGTGAGAAATAAATAAATAAATAAATAAATAAATAAATAAATAAATAAATAAATAAATAAATAAATAAATAAATAAATAAATAAATAAATAAATAAATAAATAAATAAATAAAAATAAATGAAATTGATTATAAAATTTATCCCAAAAGCAGAACACAGACTTTGCATTCACAGAGCCTTCCCAAAACCTCAGAAAGATAGGGGGTTATGAGTAGTTTGTGAATCTCAGTAGTCCATTGACACTCACAGACATGGCTCTGTTCTCCCTCTTACTATTCACCAGACCCATAACTGGAATTTGGTTTTGTTGACTCAATGGGGCAATATGCACCTGGCACAGACAACAAACTGATTCACCAGAAACCATGCACACTCCTGACAACCAGACATCTGGCTCTGTGGCACTGGGCCACTAGTGACTGTGATCCTGAGTGAGCCCGTGGCCTCCAGAGACCTCAGGATTCCCGCCTGAAAATGGACCTCCTTAGCCAAGCATGGAGTTGCAGGCCTCCAAACCCAGAAGTAGAGACGCAAGATCAAGAGCTCCAAGGCACTCTGGACTCAAATTCTGGGACCAGCGTTGATAACATGAGCTCAAAAAATCAAAGACAGGCTCAGACCTAGCTCAGTGGGTGAAGTGCTGGCCACAAAAAGCATGTTGGACCCAACAACTTCATAAAAGGCCAGATATGGGACTTCCCACATGTGACCCCAGCCCTACGGAAGGTGACAGGTAAATCTGGCAGCCAGTCTAGCAACAGTGAGTGACTGTCTGAAAAACTAAGATGGAGGGGCTAGAGGCATAGCTCAGTGGTTAAGGCACTTGGTGCCAAGCCTGATGTCCCGAGTTTGATATCCACGACCAACACAGTAGAAGGAGGCACCATTGCACACATACAAATAAATTAATAAATGCAATAAAAATTTAAAAACTAAGAGTTATTGAAGAGGACCACTGGATGTTAACCTCAGGCTTTCCTCTACACCTGCATATAGGTACTGGTGAACCTACACACACACACACACACACACACACACACATGCAGGCACACACATGCAGGCACACACATACACACACACACAAATACACACACACATATGCAGGCACACAAACGTGCACACATATGCACACACATTAAGACACCACACACCACATGAATTAAGACACCACACACGATGCTCCCCTCCTGAGGTTGCTTGAGGCTCAAAGCCAAGCCTAACACAGGATCAGAAGGACACACGGTGTGAGTGTCATTGTTGCCCAGAGAAGCCTCCCAAGATGCAGCTCTCCCATCTGACACACACAGTCAAATTCTTTCTTGGGCTCCCCCACACACTCCCCACCCCCCACCCCCGAAAAAACTGAACCTTTGAGACACTGAGTTGCCTCTCTCAGGTGCTTCTTATCAGAGTCTGTACAGAAACTATGGAAACTGAGACACAGCTTCATGAAAACAGTAGGGAATGTGAGTCTGAGCCACCTGACATCTGAATGCCCTCCTGGGCCTGTCAGAGCAGGCTCAGGTAACCGGCCTTTGGTGCATTATTTGGGTTTGGGTTTTGAGAGAAGGTCCCACTATGTAGTCCAGACCAGCCTCAAACTCACAGATATCCACCTCCCTCTGCCTTCCAGATGCTGGAATTAAAAGTGTGTGCCACAAGACCTGACAGGCTTGTTGTTGTTATTATTATTTATATTTATTTCTTTGGGGATTGGGGAAGTGCCTGACATGGAGAATGAGCTCTTTCCTTCCACAGTGTAGGCCCCGGGACTTGAACACAGATTTTCAGGTTTCAAAACAGGTGGCTCTGAGGCACCCAAAAGGGTCTGAGTTTAGAAACAGTTGCTGCCTGTCACTGGAAAAATCCCCAGGGTTTCCGTGAGCTGGGCTCTGGGTCTGTGTACATTGATGCTGCCGGCTTTCTACACAGATTGCTGGGCCCACGGGTGACCCCTTACCTGTGTGGCCATTGTTAGTCATGGAGAACTCAAGATTGTCGTCCCTGAAGCCGATCAGACTCGTTGGCTTCAAACACTCGAAGAACTTCACCTTCTTTGTCTGCAGATTGATGGGTGACTGCTTCAGTCCCCCACAGTCCGGGTACTCCTTAGACCAGATGCTCTCTACGAGCCCAGGCTCTGCAACAGGAGAGAGTGGAGCCCAGCTCAGAGCAGCCCAGCTGAGCTCCCTTCTTAGCAGGCTGGATTCGGGGTCTTCTGGGTGGAGGACCCACCAGGCAGCCTTCTGCAAACAGAAGCAGGGCATCCAGAGGGCAGGCCAGGACAGCTCTAAACAAAGCTGAGGACTTGTGTTGGGGCTGTGGGGTGGGGCTGTCTTCCAACTCTTCCTTGCAGCTACTGGACAAGACCCTGAGCTGGTGACCATGCCCGGGGCTCTGCTCTGCAGATAGTTGGCTGGCCCTCTGCTTTCAGGTATTCACAGCTGATGAATGCCCTGAAGGGGCCCTGGGCCTACCAATAACCCCGACCTCATTTCCAGAGAACATAGTTTTCCTTCCAAGCCCTGTGATTGAGAGTCTGGCTTCCTCTCTCTGCTGCTGGGACCTTCCCCAAACAGCAGCTGTTTCCTTGTTCCAACCCCTTCCTTGGGCCCATGGGAAGGCCAAACAAGGTCACCAAGGTGACAACATGGACACAGGGCACCTGAGAAGAGTCCTGGGAAAAGGGTGGTGCAGGCCTGTAACCCCAGCACTGGGGAGGCAGAGGCAGGAGGAGCAAGTGTGCAAGGTCATCCTCAGCTACAAGCCAAGTTCAAGGCCAGCCTGGGCTACATTAGACCTGCCTTAGAATGCAGCACAAACACAATAAACTTTGGACATATCCATAGTCCCAGCTTCTCAGGGGGCTGGGGAGGGGGTTTTTGTTGTTATGTTGGTTTTTTTGTTTTGTTTTGTTTTTTTAGAGGCAGGAGCCTCTTGTGAATCCAAGTGTTAGCCTATTTTATGAGACATCTTGCTATGTAGTTCTGACTGGCTTTGAACTTGTGGCAATCCTCTTGTCTCACTCTTTGGGTGTTTGATATTACAGTCCTGTGATAACAGGTATAACTGAGCTCAGAGTTTCGAGGCCAGCCTGGGCAATGTAATGAGATACTCTCTTTAAAAGAAAGAAAGAGCACGGCTTTAGTCCCAGCACTCAGGAGGTAGAGGCAGGCAGATCTCTGTGAGTT